TGAGTATTTATAGAATACGATGCTAGAAATAATATTACATTTTGCAGTAGTTTGTCTTACCTTCACCATTGTTGATACTGGATGAATCCTGGATAGATTTTTCAGCATGGATTCAATAAGATCAGCTACACTTAATCCAATGGCCCAATTGGTATATCCTTTTAGCTTGATAACTTCATAGGCACTAAGGGGAAAAATATCATGAAAGAGGTCATTGAAACCAGACCAATAGTTTTTGGAAGCAGACTCTCTGGGTTTAATTCCTGCTCTGTCTCTTACTAACTGTAATCTTGAGCAGATTATTTAACCTTTATTGCCTCAATGTTCTCTTCTTGAAAACAGGGATAACAATAGTTATTTCATAAGTTTGTTATGAGTGATATATGAGTTAATATACACGTAAAATGCTTAAAACTGTTAGCAGGACATGGTAGGCACTATATAAATGTTCTCATAAATTTAAATAGCTTACCATATAAGTGAATATTTATAAAGTCACAATGGTAAAAATGTACATTTTTCAACCAATGTAACTTATTCATGAACATGAATTTTCAAGCATAATAATGAAATCAGGAAACAATGAAAATAAAAGGGCAAAATATATCTCAATTGTGGGTCCCACTTGCCATTGTCATTTAAAATATTATAATCAACTAACATAAGAGAAAAGTGATGACAGTATCTTGTCTGTCTATTTTCCAAGCGTAAATTTTATACCTCAAAACCCACAGAAGCACTGGTACTTCAGAGGTAGCAAGAGTAACTCTAGCTGAGTATCAGGAAATTAGGATTTAATGCAATCTGTCCCTAACCAGAAGACCCTGGGCAAATTACCTTACCTGGGTGAGCCCTAGTTTTCTCATTTGTAAAATAAAGGGATTATGTTAACTGAAATTCTAAAGACCCTTTCAACTTTTTTTAGATCCTTTTTCTCTACATACAAGTCAAATTCTTGAAAAAAATAAATTATTATAATTGAACCACACAAAATGGCTCCATATCTGAGACATCTTGTTACAAAAACTCCCTGCAAATAATAGCTAACACTTATTAAATGTCTATCAATATGTACGTGCATGTGTGTGTGTGTGTGTGTGTGTGTGTGTGTGTGTGTTTTTACTAAATTTTAACAATAAGTCTGTTACCACATGACTTTACAGAGGAGAAAACTGAGATTCATCTTAAAGGTTAAATGGTTTCCCAAAGACCACATAGTATTAGTGTCATGATTTGAATCCAAGCCCCATAGTCTTTACTCTGGACCAAAATGACATCTTATTTTATGATGAGCATGAAGGTCATAGAAAGAGTACATGGTTGGCAACAAGAGACAGCTTCAAAAAATAAACAACAACAAAAAATGGGTGGGGAATATCTTTAGCTGAGTGCGGAAGGGTAAATACAGAATAGCTTAAAGACTTAGCAATCAGTCAGCAACTATTTATTTCAGGCAATTATGAGACTAATAGTGTCTAAGTTTACCTTTCTGGATAAATCAATCTTATTTGTCGATAGGAGGCAATTTGAAGGCCCTTTTCACTTGTTAATTCCAGGCTTTGCTCCTGCTACCTCTATAATATACTTTCTCTAGAGAGAAGATATTTACTTTCCCTGGGGCAACTGGCATAGCAAGTTTCACCAGGTAAATGAGCCTTGCCAGTTTCAAAAGGTAACAACGGCATAATTACTACATTGAGAGTTTATCTCAGCAGGCAGCCATGGTAATTGTTTGTAATTTTATCTTTACTTTTAGATGAAATTATTCATCTAAATGAATGAATAATTCACTTCCTCCCCTCACCTCTCAACCACCATCTTATGCACTTCTTTCCAATTTTCACTATCATTGTCTGTTCCCATTTCTGGATTCAACTCCTGGAGAGAAACACCTGCCACATTCACTCCACTCCACACAGCCACTGTAAAAAAAAAGGGGAGGGGGGAGGACAAACATTCTAGATATTACTGACACTATTTTTATAAATCTTTTCTTCTCTTAGTTCAGATTTCATCTTTGATGCAAGCAATTGAATAACAACTGAAATTGCTCCCATGACAAGTGACTCTAATATAGTTCCTCCAGAAGGTTGACGTTTGCCTTCAAAGAGCAACACATCTGACCTCTTAACCTTCAGCAA